CTGCCCCCCCCCCCTCTCTCTCTCTCTCTCTCTCTCTCTCTCTCTCTCTCTCTCTCTCTCTCTCTCTCTCTCTCTCTCTCTCTCTTCTCTCTCTCTCTCACACACACACACACACACACACACACAATGCGTTTGTATGCGTGTGATGAGTCTACTGTTTGTTTGTTGATCTCCCCCCCCCCCTCTCTCTCTCTCTCTCTTCTCTCTCTCTCTCTCTCTCTCTCTCTCTCTCTCTCTTCTCTCTCTCTCTCTCTCTCTCTCTCATTCCTATTGTATCTCAATACCCAGCTAATCATGTAGGATCCATGAGATTTGTGCTTAACTGATTATACATATGAGTTGGAGCCTCTTCTGACTGAGGTCATTGTAGCCATGGCACAGCCGAGGATTGTTTTGTCAATTATATTGCATGTTCACTCTTAAGCCTATTCACTGGTCTTTAGAACTTTTGGTGTCTTTGCGAAACGCCTTGGAAAAAATGTTATCACTTTGTTTTCCTCATCTTACATTTACAAGTTTCTAGCTGATGACTTGTGTGTATACGTTTTATATGTAACTGTATGTACTTGTATGTGTATGTGTATGTGTATTCATATATGAATGTTTATGTAAATGTATATATATGCATGGGCATATATGTATGTGTATAATATAATTAACCTATGACCCCCTCCTCTTTTCAACTTTTATTGGACTGAAAACTATGATATTCGGATACGAGTACATGCTGACGACGATGCAAGTGTGTATGTACATGTACGTTTACTTCATGCCGACCCTGCTGAAGCTAGTGTCGCTCCATTCCTCACCTACACAATTTGAAATGTTGGAATCTGTTTATATTGTTTCTCCCTCTCTCCATTGCCAAATAATGTGGAGCTTGAATAAAGACTGAAGTGGGAGAGAAGTTGCAAGGCTGTATTTGTTGTAACTCTTTACTTCATCCCAAGGACCTCCCATATTTCAATTTCTTTTTAGAATTTGAGAAAATTTCATTACATGTTTATTAACATTTTTTATTGAAGTTTTACTGATATATTTGAAAGGACTGTGTACTAGCTGAATGCACAGGGTTCACTAGAGTGATTTCCAAAACTTCTCTCAGTTCTTTAAACTAGATTTTAATTATATTTAGAGTAAATAAAGAGAAAAGTATTGAAGTATAATTTTAACATACAGAAAAATTATTATAACATTAGTAATGAAGATAAAGAAAATGCTGGAGTAAAACACAAAAACATATATGATTATAAGAAATTTATTTTGTATAGCTATGTAATACATGCTGTTTATTTATCCTTTCAGTATGCTTGTAAAGAAAGCATTGGAATTTAAGGCCTCAGGCGGCTTTGATCGACAGTACACAAATAATAACTTGTATAATGTTTAAGAACACTGGACACACTTAGTGGCATCCTACATACAGATCTGCAATGCAAAGACCATGCTTTATCATAGAAGGTAGAACAGGAGGAGTATGAAGTTTGTACAGATTTATTTGTCACTTTAGATGTAACTACCAAAATCAGACTATCTTGCAGTTCTTTAAAATTTGATTAGTTTAAAGACGTTTCAACAAACTTAACAAACACAAACGGAGGAGAGATCATATACAGTGAAGGTGCAGTGCTGTTACTCATCATCTATGCCTATGAAGACATTTTTTTTCTTCAAGTATAGTTTAATGACTGAAGTACACATTACAATGGCTTCTTCTATTCTAAAATGTCAGTAAAGGTTCCATTCTTATGTTATTGATGAATTATGCCTCAAACCTAAAGCATACTGTAATACACTAAATGGGATAATATGAAGTCAATTCATTGAATCCTATGTTCTCCACAAAAATATTTTCTTCATGACACTACTATAGCCAAATAACGGCAAAAAAAATGTTTCTTTCAGTTTTTTATAGCTCTATTTGCATTTGATCTCCCACCTAGAACACCAGAAACAGAGCAAATAACTAAGGTCCTGTATTGCTGAAGTATCAGGTAAAAAACATCCAACAATACATCACATGTTTGATAAATTTCAGCTTACAAGCAAGCCTAGTCCACATTGCTTGTTACAGTATAAACATTGAGACATGTTTAGTGGTAGAGGATTGCCATTCTAACAAGGCCTCTTTTCTTTAGAATTGTGCTACATGTAAGATACACTAAAAGATATTTTCACTAAAAGTTATTTTAAGTTAAATAATTCCTCTGTGTAACTATTAACTCTCTGGATATATCTTTTCTTCATTTTATCAATGGAAAGAACAACAACAGGATTTTCCTTAATTGATCCTACATTCATTTAACACTAATCATTCAAGTATGGAATAAAGGTAGTAAATACAATTAGTGTAATACAAATAAAATATATCTTAGGTAAAGCAAGTATTTACCTTACAGTTGAATTTTGCTATTATTTTTTTTACTACATTTTCCCATAGAGAAAATTATTTACATTTTCAAAATTCAGCAATACTGGCTTAATGTTCCCCCTCCCCTCCAAAAAAAAATTATCCAAACAACCTTTACTTACTAATCTAGCATAACACGGTGACAAAATAACATTTATATTTTTCATGAGAATCACTTATAGCACCAGATAAGATTATATCATGATAATGTAAATAATCAAGATGTTGCACATTAATATGTTTACAGCCAACTATAGATTTAAATATTGAAGATGTTAGAACTGTGTAAGGCTCAACACAAATAAATATACACAAGCATAAGCACAAAAATAAATACAAATCTATCTATCTGATAGATATATATTTATCTATCTGTCTGTCCAGTAGATATGCATGTCTAGACATTTATTTTTGAGCATATGCATAACCATATAATAAATATTTATTGGATCGAGCCTCGTGCAGTTTAAGCAAACCAGCTGTTTGCCTGGAGAAAAACAAGGTTCATTTTATACAAATGTGGCAAACTTTTTATATTCTGTATAAATTAATTGTTCTTCTACAGACATTCAGTTCTCGCCTTCATTTAATTTTCATAATAAGTGAACAGACATCCAAATGTTCTATTTCTTCTCATGCTATCCAAATATTTGATGTTATATAAAAGCTACTGAATAGTGCCTTTGAGCAAGACTTTTCAAAGCCATTGTTAGAAGCAAGGCACAAAAATGGAGTGGCTTTCCAAAGAGTAAATGCTAGATGAGCAACTTGAATGATATCATGAACACTTTACACACAACAGGTTATGTAACTTTACATAAATCCTACTGGTAGACACAGGAATTGTGACTTAGTGAAGTGAGTTCATTTCACTTCAGAATGACACTGAATAGAAGAGAACTAGAGAAAGAATGCTTTTTTACATGACAGGATGATGAAGGCTACATTGCAACTCTCTTCTCCTATCCAAGGTTACAGGCAAAAATGGTATTATACAGCCATGTTTGAATAATGCTTAGCTAAGAGTATCATCTTCAGACAAGTACACTACAGATGGTTACACAAAGGATATCTAAAATGACGTTATTTGCAGTATAAATCTTTGTAGGGCATATAAAGATGTAAAAACTAAAGGAAAAAAAGTAAAATTTGTAAGTGCAATGACATACAATATGGAAAGTAAAAAAAAAATTAAAACACATAGTAAAACATAACATAAAGCATTGTACATATGAAATAAAGGTAATTTGTGAACTCGTGTAGAAAACGTTACATTTGGGATTTGCAAAATTAGTACTGGGGATATATGAGCTAAGTTGAAGCTTGCAAGAGGCCAAAGCATAAAATGTAAAATCACTCATAATAAGAGTGCTAAAGATTAGCCAAAATTTTCTCTTTTCTAATACTACCATTTATTCACTTTGCATAAACCTCTCATCTGAGAGACATAACAAGAAAATGAGTGGAAATAGCTTGGCTTAATGATTTATGGCAAAATTACTGATTTCAAATGTTCTCCAAAATTGGCTTAAATGTCCCATTGCAGAACTGTGGAAAACTTAAACTGATGAATATCCCATGATGCTGGACTCTCCTCTCCAAGACCCACTGGGATGTAGAGTTTTCATACACTCCCAGGTAAGAGCCTGGGATTTAAAGAAAAAGAAAAAACTTTCATGGCAGGCAGATCAACACTGAGTTTGGTATTGCAAGCCCTTGAATTTAGTCCTTTCCTTTCTTTTGTCCTTTCCACTGGAATCCCCACCCCATCTCTATCAATTAATCCAGGAATGTAAAATTCCAATATACCCCTTGATGAAAAGGGATGAAAGAAAATTGTGCATTAAATAATCTGAGGTGGGATGTTAAAAAATGCACAGGGTTATTCAAGTGAGAGGCATGTGCATCTATTACAGAGATGCTTTACCCAGTTGATACACTACGTCTGGCTGGGAACTTGGACACAAGTTAGGTCCTACATGTACACAAGACCAATTGAATTGTACCTTTACTAAATTTGAATCAAATTGTCCTTTAGGGGTTAATAAAATTGGCTTGCTGAGTAGACATGCTTTTTAAAAGTTGGGATGTGGGAATATCAATTCAAATACTGGTGTTGATGAAGTTGGCAACCATTACTTTGGGTTTATACTCATTCATTTTTACTGTTATATAACCTCATAGGATATATCTATTTATTTAGTGAAGGGAAATTGTAACTTATTTGCATTATAGTAGATATGTATATGTAATTATTGGTACATAGAGAAATATTAAATTGTAAAAAGGAACATTTTACATGTAAATATCACATGCTTAGATATTTCAAGTCTTAAAAAAAGTCATTACCAACACAGAAAACAACAATAACTTGTACTGGTTATCAAAACATAGTCACACACACTGTTGACCATATTAGTTTAAAAATTACATTACAAAAAATTAAACCAAAAAATGTACTTACTTTTCCCAGACTCTTCCTACATTATGAGAAAATGTATCTTGTAAATTAGAGAAAAAAAAGATATTTGGTCTTAACACCATTTGGTAACTTTGAAAAAAAGTAAACTAAGACTGACACATATCAAGTTATAATAATCTTAAAAGTAAATATTTTTTCTTTTCCTATTGATATAAAAGCAGTATCTAAAATAATAGTTGATTTCACCCATAGTGAAGCAACTGCCAGTTTCAATTACTAAAATTATGAAGCGGCTTATCGACTAAAGATTTTTTTACCTATGAAGGTTTCACTCCCTTTTTGGTCATACCAAAAGAGGGGGCACAACCACAAATGCAACCTATGTACTGTTTGGAAAAATACAAAAATGGTTCTCAGAAAAAAATCTGACTATAAAAAGTACTTGAGTATTAGTATCAATTATACTAATGATCTACAAAAAAGTAATTTAATATAAAAGTATTACAGTGTATGGACAACTCACTGGAAGAAATATTCAGTTTCATGAATATCTAAGCTTCTTTCCCATCAATTAGCAACGAAATACAGTTGTCAGATCATCAAAACTGCAAGCCAGATCAACAAATACAAATACTTTATTCTACAGGTAATCCTTCCAGCCTAAGACAAAATTTTAGGTCTGGACACATGCTATTTAGTTAAAATATAGCATTTAGTTGTGACATTTATTTCATTTGGTAAGTTTTCTAGATAGTTTGAAAGCATATAATTTATCCTTGGCTTATAGAAATCTATTAATTCATATTGAGTGGTGGGGTAATAGAGCTTTTACATAATTATCTTAACCCATAGCCACTGGGAACATGTTATGTTCACCATAGTTTTGTTTTGAGAAATATCTTTATACATAGCTGGCTCCACAATTGCTCAACCACCAAGGAATCAATCAGAAAGCTAATTAACAGCACTAATGGCAATTTGAAATAAAAAAGAATATTTCCAAAAATCATGGAAAATGCTAAGCAAGTGAGAGTGCTAGGGTTATCTAAGCTAGCTATGGACTCCTTGGTGACAAAGCACTTGTGGGTCATCTGCCTGTATAAACAATTAACAAACTAAACTCACAGTGGGCATGGCATATATGTGCATACCATCCCTGTTGACAGCGGGTTAATATTATATATGGCACTAATTTTTTCTTCTTCAAAAATTCATTACAGAACTGTGGCACTCATGGCTAAACATGCACGAGGAACTGGGAAAACAACTGAATTTGAGCGATCACTGCTTTTAAAATAACTTGAATGGAAGGGAGACAAATGATGGTAAATCTACATAAAAATGCTGAAACTATAATTGGAGTTCAATGATTATTGTTGTTTCATGGATATCTTAGCTTTGAATCAACACCAGAGGTGAAGGAAAGCACAGAAACATCATGAGATTACAAAACAAATACATTTAAAAGGAACAGAAAGTATTCTTGAAATACTCTATAAGTTCAGCAATCAAATTATCTAAACTTGATTTGGAGTGAACAATACTGTTCATAGGGAGAATTGGCTAGTGGAGATAGTGATGAGAGAATGAGGTCCATTCTGCCCACTAACTGGTTGGAAGAATCACATAGCTGAACTGAATCATTTGTCACCCCATTTCTCACAACAGCCTGGAGTCCAGAACTGCTTCTGTTTTTGCCACTTTTCCTGTTTGAAAATGCCTACAGGAAATCATAATGGCACCATATCTTCTGATTTTACTCTGAAGGCATGCCTCACACACCTGAATACTTAAACCTGTGGAATTGGTTGCTTCATAGCAATCATATGGCCTAAAATATGGGCACTGGGCAGCAGCTGCTCTGCCAGGTGTGTGGCTTGTAGGCTGGCTACACTTGTGTGTGGTGACAAGAATATGCCTCCCCTTTGCAATGTAGTTTTTTCTTTTTATGCCTAGGCATTTTTAGTTCTCTTTGCCATTTTCCAATGTCCATAGTCATTTGATTTGCTTTATCCAGATGGTAAAAGACTGTTATCCTTGCACAAACTCCATATCATCTCTCTAGGTAGTCCATCACTCAGTGCATGAACAATAACAATAAGTAACATTTTGTTATTAGTCTTTTTTTTTGTAATATTATATCTTCTGCAATACAACCTGCAGCGCCCATCACAGTATCCAGGAATAGGATATTGAGCATGAAAATGGCATCCTTACTGGAGCTGGTGCTCTTCCAGTCATGGCTCATGCACAGTAAGTTCACACTCGTTTATTGATGGAAATAATGCAAAAGCCACTCGAGTCTAAAAAGCCAAAGAGTCTAATCACCCTCCAAGAAGTTTGTACACCCAGCCTTCAGCCAAAATGCTCATGATGGCAAGTTTGTGTCATCTCGGCCCTCAGCCAGATTTTCCCATGACGGGATGTTCACGTCACCTAGTCCTCAAGCCAATTTATTTTCATTATGTGATGGTCATGTTACACAGTAATAGGGTTAACCAAGATGAAGCCAGTGATCTCTCATTTCAGTGCCACAATCAAGCTATCTAAATGGCATTCCATTGATTCTGAATAGAAAAAAAAATGAAAATATAGGTTTATATCTTCATATCATGTCACTCAATTGTAATGTAATACTTCATTCTTAGCAAATTTAATTCCATTTAGAATATTCTTCACTCCATGGTATTAAGAATTCACTTTTGTAAAGTTAAATAATTATATATACATATATATATTCTTTTGTTTTGAATGCGAGTATTCTTTATCACCTCTAATTGTATAAATTACAAATTCAGATATTGCTTATTTATAATTTTGTCATGATAATTCTCACACTGATATAAATAAATTTTTCTTATAATATTTAAAAAAATAAACACTACTTATCAATATCAGTACATATATTTTATATACATAAATATGGCTAATAAACTAAGGTAAATATAAACCCTAACATTGTGAACATGAGTTGTATCTTTTCTTGAAGAAAATAGTATGCATAAACTGACAAAAACACACAGACAGGCATCTGCAGACACACTTCCTTCATATATATCAACAATTGAACACATCCATGCACGAAAAATACAATCTTTAACCCATATATATCTAGAGTATATCAACAAGGTCCCAAGTGGCAAGATTTGGAGTGGAACACATTGCCATCAACACAGGTGCTCCTAAGCGACTGTCCTGTGCGGCTACACACAGGCCAAGAGCCATGTTATACAGAGCAACACCCATCTGAAAGGATAAGCAACACAGCACATTTAATACCTCTTTCTTTATGTGTCCATGTATAAACATAAAATATATGTGATCTCACAGAAAATGCATCCAAAAGCATTAAAAGAGGAGGAAGGAAGATGAAGAGGCATAGGAGGTAGAAGATACAGAGGAGGAGGAGGACAACAACAACAATGAGGAAGGGGAAAATGGAGGAGAAGAAAGAGGAATAAGAAGTACAAGAACATGTAGGATAAAAAGAATGGATAAATAAATAAATAAATATATCTATAAATATATACAAAAAGTCTGACACACCTGAAACAGTAATGAAATAAAGAAAAATACAAATATCAAAATAGTGTTCTGCAAAAATTTCTGATGCACATCAACATTTCATTAATCAGGACTACTTAAAATAGGTGGGAATGATGCCTCACCCTGCTTTTCTACACACCTGGTTGGATATTTTCCACTCCTGGGCTCCTCCCATTTCGTGGCACTTGGCAATTTTAGGCCTATTATCAGAGGCCTCGAGGCACAGCAGCTGTGCAAGAACAAGCTCATTCCGGTCTGTCTGGTGAAACACCTGACGATTCCAATCTGAACACTTGGACAGTACTAACATTGAACCCTTCCGTGAAACATCTTCCTCAGACTCTATGCACAGGTTTGTTCCTGTTAAACGGATCTATGAGGGAAAGTAAAGGAGATGCTTTTATTTCATATTTGCTTTATCCTGTACACTCCAAGATGCAAACTCATGTAGTCACAGACACAAAGGTGAAATATATATGTTACAATAAACGAACTAATATATATACACTATCTGGAAGTTCAATACACTATCTTATATATAACTCATCATCATTTGGCTCACCTGCCACTTGTGTGTATAATTCCTCACTCGTTTATTCCATGGCTGGTATGGGCGTACACCTGCTTTGTCCATTTTCGCATTCTTGTTCTCCTCACCTGGAGGCCCAAGTTCTGGGTACACATTCTTCAGGTACCATGAAAAAGATTTACACTGAAGGTCTTCTCTCAGCTTCTTTCTGCTTGAAACATCTCCATATTCCATTTTCTCTGCTCCAGGACGAACTTTGAAAAAGTTCTCCTAAACAACAAACAATAATTATGGTTAAAAAAAGGAGAGGAAGCATAAAAGTAATCTCAGAGTGTATATATATATATATATTATATATATATATATATATATAATATATATATATATTTATATATATATATGTATATATAATATATATATATATATATATATATATATATATATATATATATATATATATATATATATATATATATATATATATAAATATGGTGTATCACAACAAATAATAAAATATGGATATTACAACAATCATTGAACCTCTGAGTAACTTAACAAAACTGAGAACTCAAGAAGGACATCTTCAACAATCAATATTCATTAGTCTTCACACCATTCCTTACATTTTCATTACAGTAAATCAATTCCAAATTCAAAAACTTCTTATAAGATTCTATAATGTATGCATGAAAACAGGTCCTACTTCAATGACTATAAAATTGCATGACACACTTCCAACAATCAGGCAGTATCTCCCTCACCTTGTAGTCATCTAGCCATACATGGGCAACCCTCAGTGAGTTGCGCATCAAGGAATCTTGGCCACCTGGGCCTCCATATGGGCGTCGCCGACGGAAAATGTGACCAACACGAGAGCAAGGCATGATCTCTAGCTCTCCTCCACACATCCAAACCTTCAAAGGAAGGAGTGTTAATGATCTGGTTTGTATATACAGATATGAAAAAAAAGAAAAAAAGAAAAAAAAAAAAAAAAAAAAAAAAAAAAGACAAATATGTATATATAAAAAATCAATAAAATCTACATTACTTCTTCAATACTGGATGCTGTATTTCTAAATACAACTGGATATAGTAACTGGACTTAATGCGGTGTTTGGAACTTCTTGTCTTGCTCGTCCAGACAAGTTGGACAAGATGTTTTGAATGTTCAGAACCTCTACGTTCTTGTCCTGGACAAGTTGTCTATCTCGTCCATTTCACCCTCCTGCGAAGCTGGCTAGCAGGATGAGATGATATCACAATGGTATTTGTATGAAAACACTGACAGTTGCAGGCAACCACAAGCTATTGATGGGTAATTTTATGGTCCTTTATTAATGTTATCAAAGGATCTTTTTGTGTTTATTCTTTTTGCGTTTGCAGTTGCTGGTAAGATAAATATGCATCAAAACCTCTGCAGCATGCAAAATAAAGACAACAGTATGATAAAAGTGTGAATGTATACTTTCGAGCTGGTTGCCTGGACAAGCAAGACGAGAAGGTCTGAACGCAGCGTTACCTATTGGCAACTGGTACATGCACTGTCCATTGAAATAAAGCTCTTGCTGTCAGTTGGCATGTATGTACATGCCATGGCTGTTATGGACAGAATAGCCGGTGACATCGTATCACTACCTTTCCCATGTCGTTGGCTCATCGGGCAGAGTTTGTTTTTCTCCAATATTAGTGGCTTCATTTCTATGTAGAGCTTTTAGGCAATAGCACCTATTGTGAAGGTAAACCTTCAAATCTTTATATATTAAAAAAATTATAGCAAAATAAAAGCTTTTTAGGAGCTGAATGTCGCTTGCAAACTACCGAATGTGCTGGGTGCAAACAGGGAAACTGTTGATAAATGCCAACAACCCTGCATCCATGTCCACTTGGCAAACTTTTTAACCTGGGGTCACTGGGTTAACCTACTAACGCCGGTATATTTTGAAGCAGAAAATAATATTTTATGGGCAGCTACAAAATCGTCGCGTGGGGCCATGTATAGGTACATGGATGAGGAAACTACCAAACGAGTAATAAAGGCCAGCTGTGGCTAGTTCCCTGACAGCAAACGCGAGACCCACTAAACACCTGGGGAGGTACGTCGCTAATAAGCGCTCACGTACACCTATGTGGACTTTTGTTTGTTGCAATTGTGCATACTGCATTTGATTATGATATTATGCATAGATATGAGTTTGTGAATGTTCATGGAACACTTTTATACCAATATCAGAAAAAGATTATATCACTGTGATTTATGACAAAATAGGATTGAAATATTTCTGTTAGACTTGATTCAAAGGTCAGTATATCATAGCAATAGTAAATTTGATTTGATTTGAAATTGATTGTTACCACTGTAAAGGGCAATTCAATACGGAGGGTACCTAAAAGTTGGATTTTTGAATTTCAGATGTATAAGTGACATACTGATTATTTCATATTAAAGATGATAGTACTCAATAATACCAGATCTCAAATAAAAACTATGGAAATTATAACTCGTTTGTGTGTGCAATCTTCATCTAGAATTGAAAAAGCTATTACATCTGTTTTGTGCATTCATGATAAAAAATATTATATTTAGATGTTACCATAGGTCTTAAGAACCATAAATTCGCAAATATTCAACCACACTTAGGTGTCTGCATGATCTTATGCACTTCTTAGTAAAGATAATGGGTGCAAATGACTAATCAATAACTCTACACATGTTTCCCGTTGCAATCTGTTATTATTGACAATTATAGAAGAAAATGGTTTGAGAGGGATAACTAATTTATTTTATTCCTTCAGATATAACAGTCAATGTTGGCATACTAAATGAGGATGATATATTTTTTTTAACTTTATGTGTGTGTGTTTATGTACATATGATCCTCATCGAAAATTATAAAGACCCAGTGACCATCTTTCCCTCCCCCCTGTGTGGAGCATGGGAAAAATTCAATGACTTCGGTAAGTTCTTGAATTCCATGTACTAAATTCATATGCTTTTAAAATTCTCAAAATTGAACTGCTATGTTGTATTCATGCTAGGACTTTATAACTAGGATGTTTGGTACTGATATTGCCATCCACAGTTCTCCATTTCTTCAAAATCGAAGTAAAAAAATCTGGTTTAGATGAACTGTCTCTATGGTTCAATGCATTTATTAAACTTTTCAGACAAAAATATCTACTTTTATATCCAACTAACAAATAAAGAAACAAAAATATTATATACCTTTACAAGAAAGTGTCCCTATTGAAAATGAGAATTCTGATTGACTTGTTACTCATTGCATCGCAAAGTAAACTAAATGACCTTTTTCTTATATATAACATCATTAAATTTAGAGAAAAATAACAGAGATAACGAACTTTGGCAAGCTGCCAAAATATAAATTGCCGTAACTCCATTCTTTGCTTACACGACCTTTGGTACATTATGAGGCTTGTAATTTTCATGCGATTCAAATGCAGTTTGTTGCTTTCGCTACAGACTCAGAGCCCTAAGGTCTTGTAATAGCCAAATTTTAAAATTTTGACCTTAATAAAAAAATATATACATTTTTTAATGCTGAAAAAAAGGGACCAAAAATAGTATTCTATGTCAACCAGTCACCCCCCCCCCAAAAAAAAAGGCTATTACACAGCCTTCGGCTAGAATAGATCTAACACATAAATTTTGGGGGGATTGTTCATGAAAAAACTGTGGGAGTCATAATGTACCGAAGAAGTAGAAGAAGAAGAAGAAGAAGAAAGGGGATTTTTTTCGACTTTTTAAAAAAATTATCATTACTTAGCCACCAATGAGCCAATTACTAGTACTACCTATCTTACCAGTTTACTGTTTTCCTTGATATATGGAAATATCTTTTTTAATTCTTTACCAGTTTACCGTTTTCCTTGATATATGGAAATATCTTTTTTAATTCTATGTTACAACTGATACAGTCAATAATATCAAAACAATTATAATGCCTATAATAATAATAATGAAAGCATCACTATTGATAGCATTAGTAAAACAAATATTTTTTCTCAATAACTCATTTGAAAGGTGAAATCAGGTGAGGCTATGATGTCTACTGATCGACTCCTTGGTAAATAAGCCCTTGCATTCTAAGTCTTATGGCTTATATCTCAACAGTTTTTCCCTCTGGTGTTTCATATTAAAGAGGGGAAAACAGTTGAATGGCAATACCAACATTGTTAACATTCTGCATCAGATGCCATATTATCTGTTTAACAACACTATACTGTTATTTCTTTATAAGTGATGTTAATAGTTTCAATGTGAGATTAGCTGCTTACAAAATTAATACATAATTGCAATGTTAAAATCTAGAGTCTTAGCCAATCACTGGCTTTACTTGGCTGACACGCAATATTAAAAGATAAAATTTGGTGAAGAGCATTGGTCATTTATGGTCAGAAGCACCTTTGGCTGCACATAACTTCTTGGCATCACTGGGCATCAAATGTGATTCTCTAAAAGGAAGATGCCTGAAATGCACTTCAAGAGGAGACAGGAGTGTGAAACTGCTATACTTACCCTAAAAGACATTTCTAAATTCTCTCCACCCCAGACATCCATCCCCATGTCATATTCACCAATCTCCTTAAAGTAGTTACGATCTATGGCAAAGAGCCCACCAGCCATGGTTGGGGACCTGGAGATGGAGAGAAGAATATGATACTGCAGTAGGTCCTATTCTACTGAGAATTGTGCCTAGTACTAAAAGTGCATTATAAGCTTTCCTTTACTACTGAATATCAATGTCAAATAATTCTGCAGCTCAACAATAATTACTTCCTTAAAAAGCAATACAATAAGTTTAATTTTTACTTTAATTTTACTCTAATCCTCAAGACAAGTGCCATAAAACATACTCTTATCAAGTGAAGGACATCAATCTACACAACTTAATGGGCTTTATGAAATTTATCTTGTCCATGAAGTAGTTTGAAGGAATTGTGTCCCACTTGAAGTGAAGGCCCCAGTTGAAGCCTCCACGCACAAGAGGTGAGGCTGTGTACTGGAACAAAAAGAAAGCAAGTCAGTTAATAGAGTCTTCCTCCTTCCAGTCTAATACTCATTTATGTATTCAAAAGGGGAGGCTAATACTTATTTACAGCTCTTTGGTTTAATGAGTAACCTATTTTAACTGAAGACTTATGTTTTATGATTATAAAAAAAATATTTACAATGCAAATAATATTTCACTAGTTGTAGAAACAAATGAATACATTTTATTCTGCATCCAGCATGCAATTCCTATAATTTGCACATTTGATGTACTGAATGCCTAATCTTCACATCAAAGTTCACATCTCTGTATTGCACTTTATGTGCCTACAAATCATAAGTCAGGCTCTCCTCAGCACCAATACATATGGTATGTGAGCAAGTGGCTTTCACTGCTGTAAAAGCCACTTACCAATGTTTTACATTAGGCATAATTCATAAAAATCTACAAAGTAGTAATCAAGTGAGTTGGAATTCCACAGTAATTACTTCATAATAGTATTTTCCCAGTAGATAAATTTTCACAAAGCTCATTAAATTTTCTTAGTCTGGACTTTATTAGGTTACCATGAAACAAAAAACACCAAAAAAATTATAGATAAAAAAAACAGGAACTACCCCCTCTTTAGAGTATGTAAAAGACACCAAGTTCAATGAGAAATAGGAAAGATATCTTAAAAAGAATTAAATTAATTTTTGTTTAAATGTTTTTTTCCTGCATTCTCTGAAAATAATAACTTATGTAACACTATCAATTAGGCAAGGGTGGATTGTGGGGGGATAACAGGACTCCCAAATTATCAGTAATGGAATTTTTACAGTTGCTGGTCAATGAAGAACTGATTGTTCATTTATCTTTATCTAAATATTAACCCAATCATTCCAGAGTACACTGTATGTTGATGAATGTGTAATTGTGACAGATATCATATGATGTAATGCTTGGTTTGAACTGGATATGCTACTTATAGCTCCTAATACAGTGTTTGGCATCACATTCTAAGCTACTCTGACCTAAAAGCAGTCACTATCACAGGGGAGTAATAAAACCAAAAAGCAAATCTCTACCCTTCTCATGCTGTAACATTTAACATTAATTACTGGCGCAACTTCAAACTTCATTATACTACCTGTGCTGTTTAATACAAATTATGATCTCATATTTGTCTTGCTTTGCTTTCCCATGCACTCACTCAATTGATAAATGTAAGGAGGTAGGTAAGTAAGGGTAAAAAAATGTTTTGATCTTTTTCCTATTACTGTTGTGGATGGGAGAGTTGTCCTAAATGCATAATCATTGTCATTCTGAAACATCAATGCAAATTGATATAAATAAACATAGGCCATACCTGGAATGTGTCTGGAGATATAACATCAATAATTGGGGTGACAACGTGGTTGCGATACTCAGCCACTCTGGACAAAAGGGGTTCTATCCAGCCAAGGTTCACCTCCACATGACTGTCTAGGAACACCATGATCTGTAATCATAAACTGGCTATTAAATATGCTCTGAGAGAGAGAGAGAGAGAGAGAGAGAGAGAGAGAGAGAGAGAGAGAGAGAGAGAGAGAGAGAGAGAGAGAGAGAGAGAGAGAGAGAGAGAGAGAGAGAGAGTGAGAAGTGAGAGAGAGAGAGAGGAATAGATATATATAGATAGATTATATATACATATAATTAGAGATATAATATGTATATATATATAATATATATATAATTATAATATTATATATATATAATATATATATAATATATATATATGTGAAGTGAGAGAGAGAGAGAGGAAATATATATATATATATAATATAATATATATATAATATATATATATATAATACATATATATATATATAATATATATATGTTGTTATATAATAATATTATATATATATAATATATATATATATAATTAATATATATATATATATATATATATATATATATAAGAGAGAGAGAGAGAGAGAAGAGAGAGGAGAGAGAGAGAAGAGAGAGAGAGAGAGAGAGAGAGAGAGAGAGAGAGAGAGAGAGGAAAGAGAAGAGAAAGAGAAAGAGAAAGAGAGAGAGAGAGAGAAGAGAGAAAGAAAAGAAGAGAAAGAAGAGAAAGAGAAGAGAAAGAGAGGAGAGAGAGAGAGAAGAGAGAAGAGGAGAGAGGAGAGAGAGAGAGAGAGAAAGAGAGAGAGAGAGAGAGAAAGAGAGAGAGAAAGAGAGAGAGAAAAGAGAGAGAAAGAAAGAGAAAGAGAAAGAGAAAGAGAAAGAGAGAGAGAGAGAGAGAGAGAGAGAGAGAAAGAGAGAGAGAGAGCAGAGAGAAGAGAGAGAGAGAGAGAGAGAGAGAGAGAGAAGAGAGAGAGAAAGAGAGAGAGAGAAGAGAGAGAGAGAGAGAGAGAGAGAGAGAAAGAGAGAGAGAGAAGAGAGAGAAAGAGAGAGAAAGAGAGAGAAGAAAGAGAGAGAGAAAGAGAGAAAGAAAGAGAGAGAAAGAAAAGAGAGAAAGAGGAAGAGAAGAGAAAGAGAGAAAGAGGAAGAGAGAGAAAGAGGAAGAGAGAGAAAGAGAAAGAGAGAAAAGAGAAAGAGAGAGAAAGAAAAGAGAGACAGAGAGAAAGAGAGACAGAGAAAGAAAGAGAGACAGAGAAAGAAGAGAGACAGAGAGAGTGAGAGAGTGAGAGTAGAGAGAGAGAGAGAGAGAGAGAGAGAGAGAGAGAGAAGAGAGAGAGAGAGAGAGAGAGAGAGAGAGAGAGAGAAGAGAGAGGAGGAGAGAAAAGAAAGGAGAGAGAGAGAGAGAAAGAAAGAGAAGAGAGAGAGAGAAAGAAAGAAGAAGAGAGAGGAGAGAGAAGAGAGAGAGAGAGAGAAGAGAGAGAGAGAAGAGAGAGAGAGAGAGAGAGAGAGAGAGA